TTTTGAAATAAAAAAAATAAAATACAAAAAATTTTTTATTTATTTTATTTATTTATATTTAATATTGTAAAACACTGATGATATAAAAGTTTTTTTTTTAAACTTATCAATTCCATCGGAACAAAAAAAAAAAAAAAAAATAAATTGATCCTTTCAAAAGATTTTATTGGTTGAAATAATTAATAAAATGAAATTTAAAAATAATAAATGATAAATGTCATCATAATAAAGAACAAAAAAGGGCTCGAAAAATAAACAAAACCATTTGATTTCATATTTGATATTTGTAATAATAATTTTTTTTTAACATAACGCCACAAAAAAAACTTTAGGGGCTAGTTTTAAAGTATGAAAATCTACTCGACACCACCATAAAAATCTTTTTAATTAATATATCGAGAGGGAGAAATATTTGGATCCAAGAGATTTTGTATCCTATCAGTCAGTTTTATATGATAAAGGAAAGTTCAGTTAATATACCGTGCGTGATCTTTTCATTGGAACATTAACCAGTCTCCCAAATTATCAATCTATCATTATAATGAGGATAAAGACTCACTATCATTTTCCCAAAAATAAACAAACAAATATTTATAAACATAAGATATAAATATAAATATATAATAAATATTATATATAAACATAAACACAAATATGTAAAATATAAATATAATAAAATATAATATATTAAATATTAATGAATAATTTTATTTAGTTCTGCAATCAGTTACTTACTATTCTTTGAAAGTCTCTTGAATATGTGTTGTGGATGAGAGAATTCTTTTGATTGGCTTAACTTAATTTCAATTTTCACCTTCCATTATTACTCTTTCTTCTTACGGGAATTATCTCCTTTGTATAAAAGACAACGAATCAAATGGTACGATTGAAAAATTTCATCACATTGGACCCTGAAATATTTTGTCTTTGTTCTTGCCGCAGAATATATCATTATTTAATATATATATAATAATAATAAATATCATATCATCAGCAGCACCAAAATCTTTAAATGATAAACGACATGTATGTGCATGTAACGTCCGTCATACATAAATGTAAACAATTTAAATGATTCATTATAAATTTATAACTCGGTACCTACTCAGGATAGATAACGTATGTGATATGCCTTTTTCAGTAGGAACAAATAGATAATATTGGTCACGCGTTCGGCTTTTTATACAACAATAAAATGAAAATTGTTATTACTACATTAATTAACATATTTAAAAAGAAATTTTCACAAAAGGAATCAAAATTACCATATTTTATCTTTTTCACACAATGATTAAATTAATCGATATTATATAAATAAAGACTAATAATAAATAATAATTATGTGTAATCCTTTTTCATTTGTATCCATATTTATCATTTAATATTTTACGGTTCCATATAAAGAAAAGTAATTAAAATATGAATAATGGTGATTCCGATTGGTTATTTAACTACTGCGCATTCAATTAACCAACATTAATTGGGTGTGTGGATATAATGATATATATACATCAATCAATAAACACATGACCAACCAACCAACAATCATCCATAAAATAAAATTGAAAATCTAAGCTTTCTTCTTCCGAAATAAAGTTTAGTTCATCTTATCTGAATCTAATCAATGGATATAAATGGATATGTGAATGTGTGGGTTGAATGAGAATTATAAATATGACTGTGATATACATTTTGCATAAACGTCAGCATGCATATTTATTTATATTTTATTTATGTGTATAAATAACCGAGTAAATATGGCAATTTAAGATCCTTTTTCTTTATCTACCTATATACACACAAACACGAAAAAATATTTTTTTTTGCGCATTTATTTGTTTCATCTTAATGGCGATAATTTTTAATTACCTTATCCATAAATAGTTATCAAATTTATTATATCACCCATCTACTTGATATAAATCAAATGGGAGAAATGCTCCCTTATATATTAACATTCGATTCCTTGCGTGGACATCCTTGGGTTAGAACAATACTCCATTTTGCATAGTAACATTCCTTTAAATACAGATCTTGCTATTTATGTGATGTCGAAATTCCAAAACCATCTTTGTTCAGAGGTTTCATTAAAGTCCCAAATAATTAAGATCTTCCACAAAAAAAAAAAAAAAATAAATAAATACAATACTCATAGAATTATTATTATTATTATTTTAGGATTGTTTGATTTGTGCATTCGTTTAACTGGTTGTGATAAAACAAGCTTTGAATGTTCAAGCCTTGCTTCAAAAGGTTAAATCTTGGAAGTTATAGTTGACCTTGGGATTTAACGATTCGATACAGTCTCTTTTGAAAATTGGCGCAATTAATATTTTCGTGACATAATTTACGCGCTCTTCATGTGTAAGGGCGCAAAAAGAAATTCCCCATTTATTTTATTTTATATATACTATGAGATATGAGAGCTTTTCTAAAAATAGAAAAAAAAGATCTGCATCTCAAGGAAACAATGTTATGGGGAGTGGGCATGCTTTCTAGTCCAAAAATCTTCTACATAAAGAGTTCCGAAATTGCTTTGAAAAGCCCCACATATATAGTATATATATATATATATGTATAGTAAAAATGTATATGGAAGAATATATCAATAGATTGAATAAAAATGCCATTTACAAACTATCGCAATTAAAGATCAAAACGATTTTCTTTAATACAATACCATTCTTGAACTGTTCATTTAAATATGTGATAATATCAATTTCATTGCTATTATTGTTATTATTATTATTATATTTTCCTTTTTCCTTTAATTCATTTGCTTTTGGTCAAATCGGCAGCTCTATATTTTCTTTGGCTAAAAAATCCAGGGTTTCATTATTAATCTTAAATTTTTCTCTGGATAATAAATAATAACCGTTAAATACTTTTTAAAATTTCTTTAACATTATAAAATTTGCCTTGTCCAAAGTTAAAGCAAACAATTCCAATTTATCTGCATTTCCAAATTGACCAAAAGAAATAATACGAATTTACCGATACAAAATGTTTTATGACCACCATTACTTTCTCAGGTACGACTTATTACAATATTCAAATTTAAATTTGGATTCTGTGTGTGAATGTTTTGTGAAGATGGACAAAGATGATTGACTGATTAGATGGTGTGAAAATTGTTTTATTTTTAACTGATCGATACTTTCCTAATCTAGAGAATAATGTGACATGCTATGAATGTTGCAACCCGAAATTCTTTTGAACTCCCAAAACAGTTTCGCGAGAAGAGCTTACTCAAAACCCATCCGAAACTGAAAGCCATGATACTAATACTAATTTTTGTGATCTGCAAATTCAATTCTAAATATAATTTTGTAAGGAATTATAGTTTTGGTTTAGGGTTTTATTTTTCCCCTAAAGTAGTTTCGGTTTCGAGTTTTTCCCCTACAGTTAATATTAACTGTCAATGTTACACTTATTATTATGCTTCTAATAGTGAGTTTTGACTTTTTGAGTCGCATGTATCATGCGTACAATAGGTGAATTATGACGTTAAAAAGTGATTATTGTTTAGAAAAAAATAGTAAAATAGAAAATAGACCATAGATAACAAATTAAACTATTATATAAAAAAATTTATTTTCTTTAAAAGTGTTTCATCCCACACAAAAACTATTTTTAATCTTGTGACATGTCATGTATATGTATTCGGTCGAGAACAATTTGTCACACATCAGTTGATGATTCATAAAAATAAAACTGCCATTACAACTTTCTAAATATTGTAATGTTGTAGTTGT